CCCTTCCCCAGCTCTGCTCCCTGCCCTGGATCACTCCAATCCCCCCTGAGGTGCCCCAGTCCAGGTGAGTGCAGGAAAAGTGCAGTGGGGAGGGGCTGGAAGGGAAAGGTGAGGATACCTGCTGGATGGGACTCTGTGCCTGGAACAAGATCCTTCTCCCAAGCAACTCTGCAAAGATGCAGCCAACAGACCAGATGTCGATGGCATTGCTGTAGTGCCTGCTGCCCATCAGGATCTCCGGGGCACGGTAATACTGAGTGACAACTTCCTGAGTCATGTGCCGGGATTCGTCTAATTCTTCCACCCTGGCCAATCCAAAATCACAAATCTAAATTGAGAAGGTAAATAAAAAAATTAAAATAACCAAAACGCTTTCTGCATTTCAAATAGGCAACCCCTCTGGGAAGGAGGCAGGGAATCCCCAAGCAGTATTTAAATACATCAGATAATCTGCTGTAACTGCATAAGCCAGGGGAGGGGGGATAGGAGGAAATTATGKTACTCTGTTCCACAGCCATTTAAACTTCCTGCAATTTGATTTGAAATCACAGTACATTTTAAGTTGGCATTACAATATTTATAATCTGAAAGATTAAAAAACTGCACTACAAAAAACCCAACCTCTGAGTACAGAGTATTTCAACTCAAACAAACTTCATTTGTTCATGACACGTCTCAAAATATTAAAGATTTTCGCCTTCTACTCCTTTGGGCTTGGAGAATTGTTAAAAATGTCTTGAAMCAGAAGGGTTAGGAAGAGACCAAACCTTCCCAACGAGAATTCTTAGCAAATCCCTGTAATCAACACTGAATGTTTGACACAGCCGTATTAAGTCCTCCAAAATTCCATATACCCAAGGTTTTAACAGACGTGCAGGGAGAAAAGGGGAAAGGAGATGTTTGCTTCATTTATAAATTTTAAAGAATCTGCAGGATTTTTTTGCATTTACATGGACTTTCAGGGAGAGTGCTCGCATTGAATGTTTTTTTGTTTAACAACTAACAACATAACAAATATCTTTAATAAATGAAGTAGCACCTTAAGGACACAGTTGCTGTTCACGAGTAGGTTCCCTGGTTTAATRTCTCGATGTAAAATGCCAGCAGAATGTAGGTATTTCAGACCTGAAATATTAAAAGAAATTAAAATAAATTTATTTTCCTTTAAAATAAGTTTAAGGCTGACATCATTTTCCTGGAAGCTCTGGCAACTTCTGATCAGCAAAAACTTTGTCTGTGCCTCAGTTTTCATAAGCAACTCCCAGATACTAATGCACACTCTGTCACTCAATGACAGGGTAAAATGATGGAGTATAKAAAACAGAAAAATTAATTAAAGTAATCTTTTTAATAAAATAAATCCCCCTCCCCCAAAAAATCCAACAAAAAATAAATCAAAAGCAAAACATCTTCCTGTTGATGGCATGGATACTCTGTTAATCCCCACACTGGAATTTTCACACACCTCTTACTGCTCTGTTTTTCAGTAATGATTTTTACCTTAAGTTAGGTACTTAATAGTTAAATATTTAGCAATCTGGCTCAGTCTAGGTACCCTTTCTGTTCTTTGATTCTAAAAGCATGACTTTTCTTTCCCTGACAATGCTTCAAGGCAGCAGAGGTGCCTTAGCTTAGAGCCCTGYAGCTACAGTAATTCATGTTTAGTATTTATTCAAATATGAAATTCAAAAAAGTTTCTACAGGAAGCTTATTCAAGATGATGATAAACATTAAGAAAAACAAATATTTCTACTACATCATTTTCATGAAATTTACAAGAAGAAAAATTACCTCTTAAAATCTGGTAAAGAAAAACTTTGACATGATCCGAGCTGAGTGGCTGAGGAGAGACGATAATCTTATGGAGGTCACTCTGCATCAACTCAGTGACAACATATCTTCAGTTCAGTGGTTAAGGAAAAGCACAACAGGCACAGAATCTCTTCAAACAATTACTAACTCCTGCTTACAGGAGCTCTTACAGGTCAGAGCTATTGAGTCACAGAGAATAAAGCTGCTGCAGAGGTCAAGTGTCCCAGTTCTTACAGGAATGAAAATACAGAACGGCTTGTGAAAGAAAACAGATTATTGCATTAAGGCAGTTGTACAAAGTTACTCCAAGGTAAATTACAGCCCCAGGGGGGACTGAGGGTGCTCTGGGGTGTCAGAACCAGGGGAATAGGGTTGAGCTGAGCTGCACACCTTAACCCAGGGATGGAGATCACCATGACAATGTCCTGAGTGTGGGACCAGAGTAACACACACAGGAATCACCCAATAAACACTGGGGAACTGCAGTTAAAAAACATTACTGCTTTAAAAGCTTAGTTTGGCAGTCCCATTTSAAACAAAAGTCTGTGCTATTATTACATTTGTGGCTGAAGGAGGTAAAAGACATTTGCCCCACGTTAACTGGTCCAGCCAGGTATCAAATGCACATTTTCTTTCATCTCTACCCAGTCAATGCCCTGCTTTCATCTGTTGCTCTGCAAACCCTCTCCAGYCAAATCCCTGTTGGCCAAAAGGTTCATCTGCCAACAGAACACCACACAAAAACTCATTTTATAAATTAAATATTTCCAACTTTTTGAAGAAAAAAAAATATTAAAATTGCACTCATAAAGAATTCATAAAGAAAAAAACCAACCCTGCAGCACCAYAATTTGTAGTCCTCTAATTTTTCTTTTCCTTTAGCAAAGACCGTTTTAAATATTCATACCAGACTTTTAAAATTTGCGGTTTACCTCATACCTGCACCAAATCTTTACATTCAATTTAACGCAAAACATTTTTAAAAACCCAAAAGCATTACTCTGCACTTTATTATGATAAGATTTTTGTTTTGCTACGCCACAAATCCTCCTAAATCTCAATCCCGAGCATAATGTCTCCCAGATGTCTCAACTAGTTGCCATGCCAACTAAAGCAGCTTAAATTAAATGAGGGCCTGAAATGGCACCTGCACCACTCCAGGTCTGGGGCGCATTAAATAAAGCTCTTGACAGGGCTCTGAGGTGCCATTAACCCCAGCAGCAGCCATCTGATTATTGTCTCTGGRTAATTTAATGAGGGCTCTGAAGGGGAGCGGGAGCAGCGCCCGTGGATGCTCTG